GCATGGCTGTGTTTCGTTATTATTTTGTGAGGCACTGTGCGTCTGGATGTGGGTTAAAAATAACCCAGAAAGGTTAACTTGAAAGGTTGTTTTTAATGTTGTTGAATTCAGTGACTTCATCTACAGTGCAGCCTCGGAAACCGAAGGGATGGCCCTACTGACAGGTTGGCCAGTGCTATCGTGAAGGCAGAAAGGAACAACTGGAGGGACTGGAAACTAGACTAAGGACAAACAAAGTGTTGATATTTTAGGCTCTGCTTCTGGGATGTCAACAGCCACCTGAAACTGAAGTTAGCATAAATCATATCTCAACAATTTGATCCACAGTCTCTTCATACAGTCTTACCAAGCAGTTATCACTGAAATAAAGAATTTCAGATTCCACAGCAAGTAATGAGGGAGCTCTGACTACAGCTTGCACTATTTGTCCTCTGCTGACCAGAGGAGCTTGAGTGACAGAAGTTCAAAACAAGACACTCCAATGTTACTGTTCATTTATAAAAGCAGTGAATGCCCACTAAGGAAAACAGTAGCCAACCGGATCTGGACAGATTCCAAATCTTCAAACCTTTTGCAGCAGTCCCTTTGGGTAACTTACCAACACAGAGGAAACTTCACACCAGTGCAAAGTCTAGCAGAAAGTGGGGAATCAGCCAAAACTTGCATTCCTGTGGCCAATCTCCAATGAAAAAATGGTTCCTAGTCAAAAAAGAAAAAGGACTACAAACACTTAAATAAGAAAATGCAAAATAGTTAGCTCTAAAGGAGTTGTACTAGGGTTCACTCTGATAGACCAGTGCAAACATGATTTGTTGTCTTCTCGTTTCAATACGATGCAGTGCAAAAAAAAAAAGAAAATAAAGGCAACAAATGTGTTGATACCTTTAGATAGAATAATCCTGTGAAAAGAGACTTGCTTGCTGTACCTGGGGATGAGACCAAGGACTCCTGTGGGCAGTTCAATTAGCTAATTCATGCCTCAGTCCTTTTTTGTCAAATACAGAAAAGGGAATCAATATCTTATTGTGCAGAATTATTGCAAACTTGCCTTCAGTGTGCCAGGCAAAGTACTTCCAATAATACGGAACAAATCAGAAAAAGACTTACAGAAAAGAACCAGCATCTGAATAATAGGGAATCACACCGAAAGGTAATGGGTACCCCCTGCTGATGCTCACGGAGCACCACACCAGCAAAGGGTGTACTTTTGGGATGAAGGGAGAGGCATTGGTCCCTGGGTTTCTTATGATCAGCTGACTTAGGACAGGGATAAGAAGATGGTGCAGGCCTCTCAAGAGATTATAGACCAAAAAGGAAGGAGCAAAGAAGGAAAACAGGGAGGTGTCAATCAAGACCAGTAAGTACTTGGCCCTTAGAGATAAATACCCACTTCCCGATGCTTCTGGCAGAGGTGCGTGGTTAATACCAGTTGAAAGAGAGAGAGATATAGGAAAAACACTGAGTTCAGATTTGAAAGATAGCATGCCTAGATTTTCTTTATTTGAGCATTTTTTCTCTGAGATCCAGGTCCTAAACTAAGCAATTGTAATCTTTTCATGAATAAAGACCAGCACTGATGAGCTGCCTTTAGAAACTCTAAATTTAAGGCATTTGATTAAAGCAGAACTGGGGAGAAATCCCAAGTGGGTACATGGAAATGAGCAACTTTTACTTCTTTATTTCTTTGGTAAAGTAGGCTCCTTTTCTAGAGGTTTGCTTCAAGAGGAGAGCAGGTTGGTTTGTTGAAGTGCATGTGGAATATTTCTTCATGAACAACAACAGTGCTGACGGATGAGAAGTCAAATTAGTGCCAACTACAATTCCTGTGGAAGTCTGCTAGGAATTCAGCTAAAACCAATCACAACAGCTGGCTGAGGCAGAGCAGCAAAGACAAGGTCCTGCACTGAACTGAACCTGTAAACCTGAAAGGTAAATTCTGACCTTGATACCACCTTGTTCAAGCCATCCTGCCACTGCACACTTCATATTTAAGATACATCCACCAATATTTTATAAACCACTGGAGGTTTACATGTGTCAATTCATGTTCTACTGTAAGAACCAGGAGAGTGAGAAGTTGACTGAATCCAGATGTTAGAACCACATAATCATGTATTACGGCAAACTGCAACAACACAGGCAGGAAAAAGAATACTGAGTGAGGACAAGAGAGAAGACATCTACATTCAGATAAAGAGGTGGGAAAGTTGTGCAATGTATAATCAAGATGGGTAAAAGAGGGCTTTACAGTATAGGCTGAGACTGGGCATGGCTCTAAGAGATCAGCCTGCACCAGCAGAGAGAAGCATGGAGAAGTATGTTCCATTTGGCAAGTATCCCAGCTGTTCCCCATTTCCCTCAAAATATGCTTACAACTGAGCTGCATTTGGCACTGGCTGGACATGAGTGTGCTACAGGAATGGCAGCTCTTTCACGTAATTTGACGATGAGCTTCCTCTTTACTGTGCCAAGAAGAAGATGGACAAAGCTTTGGCTGTTTGCTTTACAGACAGGTCTGACAGCCAGGCAGAAGGGAGCTGCAGAGAGCCTATGTGCTCGCAAAACACCCAGGAGGAGTTTTAGGTGGTCCAAAGAGCATTCAAATAAAAACCTCCCACAGCCTGAAATTCAGCTCATGCTAATTGAGCACTAACTTCAGGCTTTCAAGAGAAAGGGGTCCTTTCCTCCAGTCAGTACTGCTCTGAATATAGCAGACAGCACTGGCTTTGACAGTGGGTAAAATTAGCTTTTGATTGCAGACACCATTTAGAAGCAGAATATTGTAGCAGCCTTTGGGCCAAATTTTGATACCCTTGTGTTGAACAATGTGCTCTCTTGTTCTTCTTGGTAGTAAATTTCAAATCAGTTTACAAAGGAACTCAGATCTTTGTGTTACAAAGAGGTTTAGGCGTGGGTGATAACATGAGTTGGAACCAGGAGCTGAATCAGGTCTCTTGTACCTGAAATCCCTTTTCCTGGTTGCTAGACACCACTGCTCCAATTTGCTGTTTTGCTGCCCTAATAAACACAGGTATTTTGAAGCATGCCAAGAACCAAGGGTTAGAGTAACAGAGCCAAGCCCATCTTGTGGCTCACTGACACCAACTTGCCCTGGCCTTCTTGCCATTTCTCAACTGGGGGCTTTGGGGCTTATTCGATTTAACTTGATAAAGAAAGCAGAACATTTTTCTGCTGTTAGCGAGGTGAGTAGGTTCAGTGAAGTGTTCAGTGAGCACCAGAGCCAGCTCGAGAGAATGGGCCACTTATGGCTGGGCACAGGAACAGCTGGGACAGGAACAGCCGCACCTTTCAAGACAGCACATGCCTAGATAAACTTGACAGCATTGTCAAACCATATACAGAGTCTTGCAATCTTCCCTTTTGTACTTCAGATACCAGAGTCAATGATATGAACCACTGTTGAGTTCTACTTGGAAATGGGACACTGCTGAAGACCAGTTAAAAAAGGGTGACCTGCATTTTTTGGGTTATTAGAAAGGGACTAGAAATCAATTCCACTTGGAAGGTAGGAATTCCAGGGTCATCAGTCCAGGTGGAAAAATTGGAAAATAAAGATTTTATTATAGTTTAGTTCATTCCTGAGAAGCTGCTTTTCTGATATATCGCACTCACTACAAGCCAATTTTCCCAGTTACTCCGGTTATTACTGCCAAGGAGGCTTTACAGGCAGCAGCTGGTTCATTTAATTACAGATAGACATATTTTCTGCCTCTAATTCAAATGCTGCCCAAGCACACAAGTACAGTTTGCTTGTTCTAAAGCAGTCCATTTGACCTAGATAACTGCTACTCCTTCTCACAATAAAAATTCTCCTCACATTCTTTTTAAAGTTCTTTCATGTTGCAAGCTCATGTACCCAGAGGTACAGAAGTTTTAACAAAATTAAATTAAACAAGGACTGTAAGACATATCATACTTGATGCTGAGAAACAAAAATTAAAACAACTGACCCTGAGACATTCTGGGACTTAAAAGAAAAAGAACTGTTTCTCCTTAGGCTTTTGAAAATCATTTAAAAAATAACCAGCTCAAAACTTACCTCTGTGTGATGTGTGCCTTGAAAAGATGCCTAGAGAAGGTCTTGTACAGTAATATTATGTACTGGAAGGTTTACACAGAATTTAAATGGATAGAGTTATTGCCGGCATTCAGAGAAAACCACTGTTTCGTTGCTCTCCATTTTCCCTCCAATCAGGCTTTCCCAGCTACTGGCAGTCCACTGTGCTGCTCAGGAGTAGCTTTCAACTAAGCTCCCAGTGGAGCATCTGATATTTTTCCAAGAAAAGCTCTTGAGACTCTGAACGAACAGTCCTTTCAGCACAATCCCTGTGCCCAACAACTTTCTACATAAAAGCTCTCATTATGAATTTTGAGTCAGTGGGGTTTTCTCAGTCTGTGTTGCTGCTCAGGCTTTCTTGACCTAGAATTGGTCCTGCATAGTTTGCATGAAGCCCTAAACCACATTCAAGTGCTCTGCAGGCTAATGATGACAAAAGAAAAAAAGATCCAGAAGAAAATCACATTAAAATTTGATTCAAAATTGGCAGCTCTGTAACCTCTCCCTTAGCTGCCATCTCATTAACATATTTTTTCAAAAGCCTTTTCTCTGCTTCATTACATAATTTGTGTTACAAAATCCAGATAAACATTCATTATTCCCAGATCTAATAATGGTTTATTGCGCTCCCTTTTTCATTTTTTCCAGAGAAAGATGGGGGACAGAAGGGGCTTGTTTAGATGGGAAATGAACCACACTAATTTCTGAGTAACATTTGTGACAGCTGTTGTCTACGGCATATCTCTCTGATACATTATGCAAAGACTAGGGAATTATTCTTTCCAATACCTCTGCAAAGTGGAAGAATTAATATTATTGCCCCAATTTCAAAGACAAAAAAGGTCAGTTCATATTTTCTGCATCTCCTGTATATCATTTTTCCACACTGGGCAGGGTCTGTCACATCAGAGACGGCGCTTATCATACAGCTGGAAGGGATCTATTGTAGCAGCAGGTACACAAATGCTTGGCCTGCCATCAGAAAGTCCTGAAGGTACGTTTATTTTTCTCTCTAACTTATATTTCTTCTAAAATTTTCTATGTAAAAATGTAATGCTGAGGTCCAGCAAGAGACAGGACCCGCTGCTCCTGCGGCCTCTGGTGCTGTCGGTCCATCCCAACCACAGCAGAGTATGCCCAGGAAGGAAATAGGGGTTGGAAATTTCACCTGGCACGTAGTTTGATGCCCTGAAGTGCTCCAAGGGTCGCTGGGGAAGCAGAGAGGCATAGGGGCCTGCTGGGGCACGGCCGCGGGCTCGGGGAGGGGCGGCCGGCGCTGGGTTCTTCCCCCGCTGTGATGGAAGGCGAACACCTCCTCCCACGAGCTGGCTGATTTTGTCCGAGGGAGACAGCATTGTCCCAGGGAGGCCAAGGTGGGTCTGTGGGGCCGGATACCACCGTGACCATCCCCCAAGAGGCGAAGGGAAGGCCTCGTGCCCCTGCCCTCAACGCTGCGGCCCCGCGGCCCGGACGGAGCTCTCAGGCCCCTCCTCAGGGCTCCTCGGTTCCTCGGGCGGAGGATGCGGCCGTGCCCGGATTGTGAGGGCAGGGGCTGAGGGCACAGACCGGTCAGGCCCAGGAACCCTGCCAGCTGCTGAACAAGCTACTGTAAATCAAACTTATGTGGGAAAGAAGGAAACTGAGACCCCGGAGTTTCTCTAAGGACTATCGAACTAATCTGTGTGGAATTCACACCTAAAACCAATAACCAATACTTGCCTGGCAATACTGCTGTTTCTCCTTTAAAGAATTTTTGGCCAAACAGCTGTTTGGGGTGGAGTTACTGCAACAGAGCCTTTCAGTTTCGTTTCCTAGATTCCTCTCTGCTCTTAGAAGAAAGGATATCCAGTAAAATAAAAAGAAAAATGACAGGAGAGAACAGGTTCTGCAAAAATTGGTAAGTGATCTTTCACCCTCTCCACCCCCACAAAAGGGGGACTTTCAAGAGTTTTTAGGATTTTCGTTGGTGTTATCCAGGTCTCCTGTAAGAGGGGGAACAGAGGAAGAACCACACCGCATGAGTATACTAGCTATTAAGTAGGAAACAAAAATATTTTGAATGCATTTTTACGTTTCCAGGATGCTGCACTCTTGCTGCTTTGCTGTGCAGATGTTTCTTCCACAGTTCTCTCCTCTGCTGCATATTCTCTTTTTACAGAATACCTTTGTGGGCAATTTTGCAGTATCTGGCAGAGAAAAGAGTCAGTGCATGAACCATGCCAAACCCACCAGCTGCCTCAGTTTCCCCCCATGACTGATGGTTCTTTCTCTTGCTATATTTGCAATTAAGTTATAAAATACTCATTTTTTCTAGGGTAGTTGACCATTTCTCATAGAATAGAAGGCTGAAAGGGGCCATGAGGGTAGCATAGTTTGGTGTATCTTGAACAGTAGCAAGGCCATTGGGAAAATTATATGAATGAAGGCAATGAAGCACTGCAATTAAAAAAAAGAGTCAAACTTAGAAGGGTTAAGCATGAGCTTAACCTCAATTTTATTTGGTAACAAAGGAAAGAAGTTCATTTACTCTTCTCTCCCATATATGCTCCATAGTAAACGAGATGTGTCTGCTGCCAATTTCTCCCTCCATGAGGCCCACTGCATGCGGTTTCTTACCCTCTGTCCAGAATGTGATGAACCAGTTGCTCAAAAGGATATGGAAGACCATCAGACAGAAGCACACAAACAGGTGAGGAATGCTACATGTTCTTTGGGGTTTTCTTGCAACTAGCAAAGAGCCCTTCCAGCCCTGAAGTAGTATGTTCACATTACTGTGCTCTATATTAACCAGCTTTAAATTTCTGTAATTGTTTGACCAGAAAAATTGTAAGGGTCTGCTATGACCCTTTAGGCCTGGTTACAACATCTTCTGATCTTATTGCACACTTAGCTTAAGAGAATGAAGCTTCTATTGTGGTATCTCAGTTTCCTCAGCAGTATAAACTACAGATGATATGTGCTCCTAGTGCTTGTGAATTAGCCTGAGCAGGCAGGGCAAATGATCTGAGTAGAGGAAGACAGACAGTACCTGATCTGACATGAACCTTGCTTGTACAGAGCTTTGACATCAACTCACCTTTTTAACAAAAGCTGAACTGGCAGAGTGCATTTATCAGCTCTTCATACAGGAAGGCAATAGCATTTTTAGTGTAGCATTAAGAACTCTGTAGCTAGAGGCACTATGGTGAAGCATGAATACACAGGTATGACTTTTTTATTCTGTCTTACTGGTTGCATTGTTTTAGCAATTCCGTTGAATTCAGTTACTTAACAGAACACACGAGTAACATTCATGGCAAACCTCTAGAAAACCAGCCTACCTCCAATGTTTTCAGAGTGGCTGTTATAATTTAGACTAGCTGAATATCATACCTATACTTTTTAGTTAAAACTCAGTCAAAATTTTAAATACATGCTATTTCACATCACACTTTGCATTTCATATGGGTATCTTTGAGTACTGGATCCTCACACAGAATGACAGTTTTTTGCAAAATCATCAGACACCTGTTTTCCTCAAAATCTCATCAACTCAGCTCAGGCCAGACAGAGAAACAAAAATTCACCAACAGCTGTTTGATGATTGGGATGAAAATGACAGGAAGATCTCAGGAGCTTGAAGCTTATTGATATATGACAGCATCAACCATCCTTCTGTGCTCCAAGTGAACTTCTGTATGTTCTGCTTGCAGATCAGATGCAGACTTTGTCACCAAAGTATGCAGCAATACAAGCTGGAGCATCATGAGGTAAGTATGGAGTGCAGTACTTTTTACTTCCAGGCTGACCCTTTTGATCAGACACCAAAAGTCACTATAATGTGTTCAACAGCAAAAACATGTAAATCCCTGACTCCTGTCTTGGACCATGAAGAAACTTAAATCTCTGAAGAGCTGCAGTGTTTTGGCATACTTTCCCCCCTTGTAATGAAGTGGGTGCCCATGGTGGTTGCCCATCCAGTTGTGATGGGACAGTCTGTTCCAGGAGATAGTCTATTACTTTCTCATCCTTGATATCTCGATCTGATGTTCTTTGCGGGCTCCCCCAAGACATTTCTGTCCCGCCCCCACACTCATATTGCCTGCTTCTCTGAGTGATTATACAAGGTGAGAGTCAATGAGAGAAGATACACAAAAACCCTTTGCAGAGGCTGGAAGTGAGAGCAGTCTGTCCATGCTAGCTGTAGTCTAACCATTTTAAGGAACCAAAGCAGTGAAAACACAGCAGCCTTCCTGTGGCAGTGGTAGCTGAAGTATTGGAATTTTCTAGGTGGCCTTGTGCTCTGTTGCTGACCTGTACTGGCACAGAACATCTTCACAGCTGTTCATTCTCATTTTGCCTTATATTGCCTAAATCATCCTAAGATAAAGATAGCCTAGACAGATGAACTGCTAATGCAGCTATGCCTGCATTTGATTTTATAGATAACCCTTAAGGAGAATGTTTTTAAACAGCCACTCATTGCTCTCACTCAATGCCCTCTCTCAATATTGATAGGAAATTTGCAATAATTTCGTCTATTCATGTACAGAACAAGGAGTGCCAAAAACGAACCATGAAATGCACCATCTGTGACCTTGAAATGCCCTTCAACAAGCTACAGGAACACCTGGACACCTGTGCCAGCCGAACAGAGAGGTGTCAGGAGTGTAACAAATACATCATGTATAAGGACCAGCACAAACACAAGGAGATCTGTCCAAACAGTGGTCTGTCCTATCATAAGGATGTGGACTTTCAAACCAGTGAAGCATCCACTAATGCAACAGTTATTCGCCCCATTGGTAAGCAAAATTCCTCATTGTCACGGACTGGGTCAACTGTTAAATCTCAATGAAAATTCTCCTACCTTCTCTACAGTTCTTGGTAATCCAGCCTGGAGCTGATTGTTGTTTAACCAGCCATGGTGAAAGGGCCAAGTGTTGTGTTCTATTATGCTGGTATTGTAAAGCCAGTGTGGTTCCACTGACAGGTAGCTCATTGACCATGTTCTTTTATGCCCCCCTTATATTCTGGAAGTGAAATTCCTTCTGTCAGAAAATAAGTGAAACTTGTTCATCTTTCTATTTGTTGCACAGGAGAAAATGTGATTTAGAACTTCCTTCCACTTTGTACACAAAAGCCAGGGATGCATACCTTGATTTCTTGAAGTTGAGAGCAGCTTTATTAGGCCTAAGGTGTTGGACAGAGTATGTCAAGACAAAAAATTAATGAATCCAGTCAATTATTCCAGAAAAGAATAGGCATCAGTAGGTGCAGTGGTTGGCAAAATAAACTATAGAGAGCAAACCCTCGTGGCAACAGAATTAGCTGGGCCAGGGTAAGAGTGAAGCATCTTGAGACACAAAACATGGGACTGGAATGGAATTTCAAATATCCTGAAATTGAGAAGGGAAGGTGGATTAGGTTTGTGCCAAAAGCAAAATGAAGTCATAGCTCAAATTTCTTCTTGGCCAGTGGAATCAGCATTCTGTGTTTCTGTAGAACCAGAGACTCTAAGGGGATCTGAGCAGCCTGTCTGGATAACTAGGGTCAATGCTTTGTTTCTCTCAATTTTTTTTCCCTTCTGAAGGTACTGGTGGCAATCTTTGTCAGAAGTGCAGTAAGTTATTCCCAGATGACCAGTACTCCCAACATCTGGTAAGCATATTTGAAACTGAGCAAGAACATGGTTTGTGCTTAATTTCCAGCCAGGTTATTTCTCCAAAAAGCTGTATATTAGCTAAGAAAGGGCAGTGTGTCTTGGCTTTTCAAACATAGTGTCATGATACAGTGCATTGCACTGAAGCATCACTGGGAGGGGCTGTCCAAGGTCCCTCCCCAGGCCTCACCTCTGTCCCAAATCACAGCATGGCCACAGGGTTGGGTGCAATGCCAATCTTCACCTCATCGGGCATACTCTCTTTTAACAGAATAAATGCAATGCAGCCCATAAGCTGACAAAAGTTCTTGCTGGCCAGTCAGCTTCAAGCCTCATCGGTGCTCCACCACGGTCTTCTTCCTCCCTGGCTCCCTCTTCCTCCTCTGAAAATGCAATGGCATGGAAAGATGTCCGTCCCAAAGGGAAAGAAAGGGAGCAGCCACTGACCTCCAAACCTTTAAAGAGCAAAAAGATTGGCTTTCTGTCTCCCACAAGAGGCGGATGTTCCACATCACCTCAAACTCTTAAAGACACTCAGTCTTTTGACATGCTGGTGACCTGTGACCATTGCGACATTCTACTGCCACTTCCAACCCTTCGGAAACACGAGGTGAGAAGTCACACACTGGACTTGGCCTCCTATCTGGAAAGGCCCATACCTACACAGTCACTACTTATCTTCACACTGCCCAGGACCCTAGTGCCCATCTCTGCATTCCAAAACTTCTTGATATGTTGGCCAGGTACATGCTGTTCATAGAGTGTGGAATTTGTTAATTCCATTGACTATTTATGCTTACATCTACACAAACAAGATCTATAATGTGCTTGAGTTTTAGGAAAATAATGACGACTCAGGCCATTAATTTTAAGCTCATATCTTGGAAAGTCTTCAGCAACTGTCCTTATTTGCTGAGGGCTGATGTTGTTCCTGCTAAGCAAATAGTAGGACTGTATCTCAGCTGCATCAGATATTAAGCTCTAGATAATTTTCCATCCCAACAAAGGGGCCCAGTTGCCTCGCTACTGAATATGATGGCTTGTTGAATATAATATTAAATTTTCCTCTGATATGACTGTTACTTATTTTTCTAGATCAAATGTCTGCATTGGACAACTTTGCAAAATGCTAGGATGAAACAAAAATCAAGCCATGGGGAAAAAGGTATCGCAGAATTTCAGAAATTTAGAATAGATTTCATAACTCAGGATTATTCTACACTGTGTTAACAGGAACATTTTGCAAGAGGGAGTATATCTAACACAAGCTAATACACAGAGTATCACAAAGCTCTTTAGATTCCAACACGCAGTGGGTTTCTGCGAGGTTGCACTAAGGAAGCATTGCTCCAGAGCCAGTGTGTTTTTGCTCTCTTGACTCAAACTAACATGTCTTGTGCCTCACAAATTAAGCTACTTTGAACAGTGCAGTACTTTCCCTACTGAAGCAGAGACCAGAACATCCTTCTCTGGTTTTCAGTTCCTGGCAGAGTCATTTCCTCTCAGTCCAGTTTAATTAAGTGAAACTGAAAGCCGTTGTTCTCAATCTGTCCTTTTTCTGCTTGGTTCAGTAAATGATGTATTACTTCTCCCTGCAAAACTTTTCTTTCCTGGTGAATTAAAGAGAGAAAGCACCAATGTGAGAAATAGGCAGTTTCTCTAGTTTTGAATTACAGGACTCTGGTCTTGAAATAAAAGTGAGTACATGGTAATTACATGAATTATTTGAACTGCATTGTAAGGGTTTTATATTGTTCAACTGAGTGATGACATAGGAAGGCTGTAAACCTGAAACTTTAAAAACACTCATAACTGGGCTTTGTTTGGTTTCAGGAGACTCTTTCTACAGCATTCGTGATTAAATCTGGAAAACAGAGGCATGTCTTCAGATTGAATCTTCAGCTCAGCTTTACCAAAAGGCCCTGTGGAAATATGATAGCTTTATCGGCAAATAAAAGTGCAGACTTGCTACTCTGGATTAAGAACAAAGAGTGACTCAGATTTTTTATTCCTTATCAAGAGAAGCATTTAAAGGTTTCACTAGAAAACTGTAAAAGTTATGGGGGCTCAACAGGTGCTGTTTCAAATATTCCTGTGCAAGCTTGCCTTAGGAATGTCCTTTTGCCACCTGGTTCTGCAAGGAGAGCAGCTTATTTTAAAATATATCTTCTGAGGGAGAGAAGGAAATAAGGAATTTCAGAATACCTTGTCATGTTGAATGCCACCAATTCCTCTCATGAGAGCTGAGAACTTGGTGTTTATCAAAACATGACCCAGTGAAATTAGAAAACATTAAATCCTGCTCTTCATCACTTCAGTGAACCACTGAACCTAGGAGCAGCACAAACATCTTCATCTCTGGAAATGGCAGACACATCCCAGGATAACTGAGGGTGTTTGTCTCCTGAAATACAAGTGGAAACTGATAGAGCCAAATGGTGGGAGTTAAACATGAAGGGTGAGTGGATGCTCACAGGACAGCAAATGGGCAAGAACAGGCAGGTAAGGGGATAGTGCTCACACCAACCATCCCTGTTACCCCAGGACCACTGCAGACTGTCGTCCTGCTCTGTCACAGATTATTGTGACAGCACATGGAGTCACACTGCAAGACAGGGACCAAAGTGACCGTGTCTGAAAAGGGCCACAAACCTACACTAGAGCACAAGGCCGGCTTTAGCCTTACAGCCCTTTCCCGTGGAGGGGTGAGAAGGCCCGGCCTGTTAAGGAAGTGTTTCCTCTCCTCCATGGAGCCCCTCGGGGGTGTTTCGGCGCTCGGTGCTGCAGTGTCACCGTGTGGCTGTCGGCGGCAGCGGCACCGGCTCGGGAGGAGGAGAGCCGGGAGGGGCCCGGGCAGCGCGCCCAGCTCGGGGCTGCACACGCCGGGCATGGGGACCGTGCGGGGACTGACACCGTCGGGCTCCCAGCTGGGGCAAGGACAACATGACCTGGGTACGGAGTGCAGCGAGCAGGTGTCCGTGGCCTGGAGCTGCAGTCACCTGGCCTGCTCTGGTGCCCTGTGTGCAAGGGTACATGTTGCCAGGACTCTGTCTCGGCACCAAGAGAGCCTCCGAAACACACCACCTCTCTGAGGATCTTTAAAACTCCTGCAAACAATCTGACGATCACCTCTTCCAAGGTGAGGAGATTGCTGTTACGGCCACCCCAGATGTCCCCGTGGTGCTGGAGGTGCTGCCCAGCGTGGTGACCCTGCTCCTAAACTCAGTGCCAAGGCTCTTGGGTTTCACAGAATGGCCTTTGTCTAAGCTGCCGGGCCCCAGAGGGAGGGCGAGGGGCCTGTTCATTTCCAGAGTATGAAAGTATGGAAGCAGCAGCGCCCGTCTGCAAACCTGAGCTCCAAGGTCCGCAAGGCATGCGGTACCAGGGTAGCACAAAGTTCAGGATGAGAGGGAAGCAGCAGTCGTTGGTTTCAAAGCTCCCAAACGCGTTCGCTGTGCCAGTGCAATCCCTTCGGTCACTAGATGGCAATAAAGACCCAACGTGCTCTTCCCTGGGCTACAGGGGAGCCTTGTTGAGCTCGGCCTGGATTTGCCCCAGGAGACGGAAGCAGAAGATACTAGAGAAACCATAAAAGTAACTGTGCCGTCGTTCTGCTTGGTAATGAGGATTTGTTTCGTTATTGTCTGTTTCTTAAAAAAAAAATAGATAGGTTGTGTTTACCAAGAAGAAAATTATTATCAGATTAAAAATATATTTCTGTGCAAGAAAAGGAAGCTCAGCCTTACCAGGACAAGTACTGAGAGGACATGGCATCATACTCCTGAAACACTGCTGAGGTTTCAAATCGCTGGGATTGCAGTGTTTTTCCTTGAAGTTTAAGACACATTTTTATTCTTTGACAGTGGCAGGAGGCAATCTAATTCTGTATGACACTCCTTCCACAGTGAAACCTTACCTACATGCCTCTCCATACAGTATTTTTTTAAACAATCCTTTGTCATAGTGAAAACTTTAACACCAATCTCTGAGACACTAGAATGAAGAACACCTTGTATTTGTCCATTTCCTCAGTGCTGTGTGCTGGTGGCTGCTCCTCACTATGCTTTGTGCTGTGTGTATATTAATATTCCTCAAAGGTTAATCTCATTTGAAGGCAGGAATTTTGTGTGTACAAAACATTGCAAAGCCAGCTGGCATATCCTACTCCCAGACACCGTTCTGATTCAAAAGCAGTGTTATGGAAAGCAGAAGGAACTAAATGAGGAAATTAAACTGACAATATACCCTGCAGTGAGCTGATGGGGAGAAGCTGAATGACCTGTTTTTGAATTTGTCCACTGCTGCTTCTCAGTGGTTCTGTTGCAAAAGACAGTGCAGGATCTCAGAATTTATTGGTGTCTTCTATGGGATGGATTTTCAATAATCCAGAGGGTAAAAGTCATCTGTTGAACCAACACAAGGCCCCCATATCACCTCAGCATGCTAAAGAAAAAACAAGCAGCATATATTTTACAAACCACACCCACCCATGTAACTTGTGTAGTACCTCATGGAGGGTTAGAAGTTGGACTTGATGATCCTTGTGGGTCCCTTCCAACTCAGCATATTCTATGATTCTGTGATTCTGTGACTGACATCTCTTCATTTGCTGCTGAAGGGCTTTCTATGTGCCTTAAGTCACATTGGGATAAAATTTAGCAGAAACTTGAGCTCAAGTACTTTTCTGATTATTTAGAAAAAAAACCTCAAAAAAAAGCAAACCAATTAATAGGTGACCAACACTGTCATCTCCTATGGTATATGAACACATGTCCTTGCAATTCAGAAAGAAAAATTTGCAGTAAAAGTGCAAGTAACCAGTAGGTGAGTAAGTGGACTAAGGTAGGCAGAGATGTCCCCAAGTGATGGCAAACCTTGCAGAGGCAGCAGAGCTGAAGGAAATTCATCCCTGTGCTGTGGACATTGGTATCCTGCAACTGCATAAAATCCCAGTGAGCCCCGTGTGTGAGCGGTGGCAGGCCCAGGCCACAGGAGGAGGGCAGGGTGTGCACGAGGAGCTGTCTGCTCCTCTCTGGCTCCCTGCAGGAAGGCGTCACCTGTTTTCATTTCCATGAAATGGATGTGGCTGCTCCCACAGACCTGCACACAATATCCAGACTGGCTTTCCATGACTGGAGGCAGTGTGAGGAAATGAGACTTCGTGCTTTGTCTTATATCCAGATGTCGCAGAGGGGGAGGACAGGGTTATCACAAGTGGCTGTATCAGATTTGACTGGTGCACTGTTCCCTCCAGCTCATCCAGACATCTCAGAGGAGAAAGGCTGATGAATAGAGTAATTTCTAGTAGTCTTTGCTGTGCCAAAAATAACTTTTTCTATCAAGTGTGATGAAGGTTTGATATCTCTTCTTGATTCTGAGAGTTTGTTCTGCCTTTAGCTACTTATCCCTAAGGCTCAAACTTCTTGAAAGTTGATTGTTATTGTAGCAGGTCAGATTACATTGTTCTGTAGGGAATTTTCCACAGAAAATTCCACCTGTTGTGTGGAGCTTGGAGCCCAGTGCCAGCACCATCAGCATATTGAAGATGCTTTTCAGGAATAAGAAATATACTTTTTATAGAGACTTGCAAATGTGAAGAGCTGGCATGGGTGTTAGAGGAAACATTGAGTAGAGTTGAATGTGAGGAGTGAAAATTGCTCTTTTAAAAGTAACTTGTAAAGGTTGGTAAGAGTGGTGGGTACACAGATCAGTGCTAGGCTGGTTCTCATTGTGGCTGTTCTGCAGAGCTCCATGACACTGAGCTGTGCTGGTTTGGAGGCATGAGGAAAAAAACATGTAGACTTGAATGGTATTGGCTCATAAGAACCATAAGAACCTCAGAAAAGGTTTTCAGCATTTGCTTGAATTCAAACTGTGTACTGCATAAGTTTTCTCTGATGTCATTTTTGAATGGAGAATCCATTACAGCCTTTTGTGACCTGGTAATTTGGTTGAGAAGCTGGCTTTTATGTAAAGGGCAGGCTATCTTTTTCTTGATGGTTTCCTAGTAAAGAGGTGGTTTTAATGCATCTCACAGTGATGTAGGTGAGAGACAAAGGTACATGTCAGGGGAGAAGAATAGTTTAGGAAAAGAGGATCAGCTTAAACCTAAAGAATACAGAATGCAATAAAAGGGAAATAAAATGAGGGGATAAAGGAAAGTGACTGACTACATGTCAGCCCAAAACAGCTTCCAACAGGTGTGGAATAGAAATGTTTTGAAATTGTGTCCTTTCTGTGAACTTAGCTCACAAAAATAATAAACCACACACCCCCAACTCAGCTGCCCCTGCCCAAAACAGATGCATAGTGAAAATATATAATGTATATAGGCTTATTTTCGGAGTGATCCAACCCTGTAGGTATTTATTTCCAGTCTGGAGAGGGCAATGAAACGTGACAAAATAGGATTTTAAACTGAATTGCCTGCGCTTTTTTGCCTTGTCAAGTACATAAATGTAAACATGCACCATAACAGATAAAGATGAATCCCACATTGAGTATTTTGTTGGAGAAGCAACAGACTGCACTAAAAATTGATGAATGGCAAATTTATTTTTATTTAAGCATTTATTTTTATGGCATTAGCAAATAGAAAAATATATGGGAGTATGCAAATAATTTTGAGGAGACATTAAAATAAACTGAACGATATCAAGTTGCTCATCCTTCATAGAGATTTTGTGCTTCAGTATTGTGGACATTATCAAAGCACATATAACATGGCTGGTGGAAACACTGGAAATGGTTTTAATTCTTCAAAAGCCTGAGCTTTCACTGTAGTTCCATATTGAGAGCTCAAACTTTTAAAATGTTCAATAAATCTGCTTTATGTTGCTTTTATGACATAAAAGCATGCATATTTTATTATAAAATATGTTATTGGATTTTCTTTATGGACTTTTCTTTAAAGTTTTATTTCAAAAGTCAAAGAAATGGTGTAAACTGTGGGAAGTAGAACCTTGTATTAAATAAACTTTACCAAAGAATAACTGTAGGAGTTTAAGCTGTTTATTGTGGACTGCTTCTAGTTAATAAATAGTAGGACTCTTGTCCCATTAATGCTTGAACTTTTAGAAGCCACCAAGGTGTCTGTGAGGTCCCTGCTGAGCAAATATGTTCCCCCTGGTGTGGCCAAGTGCAGAGCCTGGGGCAGCTGCCACAGGCCCTGCAGAAGTCCCCTAAATTGGCAAAGAGGCTTCTCAGCTTCC